TATATTTTGATTCGATATATCGATACATCGATAAAAAATAACCAATATCGAAATTCGTATCAAAAAGGATATTTTTTTAATTATTAGCGGCAAATCACGATCTAACTAAATTCGTATCTGGAAAAATCGTAACTGGATCTCAGATTAATGATATTCAACATATCTATGATCTGTCTGTGCTGTATTAAGTACTGTCTATTATTTGTAAATCTGTTTCGCTGGTAAATTGGTTGTGCTGATTTCCATTATATTCTGTGAAGTGTGTGACTGTCTAGTCTTGTTTACGAAAGAGACCCTGCTATAATTTACCTGAGAGGCCCTGCAATCATTTTCATCATTCGAAAATAGGGTCTATTTTTAGGGAGATAATTTTCGTTCCATTATTATTCCGCGTGTCATATTTCGTGAGATACTGTACGATATTTTTGGGAAAAATGGTCCGATATATCGATGTTTTTTTCGCGATATATCGAAGCCGATATTGATATTTTTTAAAACATCGATGTATCGATATATCGATATTTTTTTCAACTTTCGACATCCCTAGCGCCGGCGCCGGCGGTCGGTGGGGTAGCCCCAGCGCCCGCGCGCCTCGCCCCGTAGTCACATGACTGGGGCCTTACTCCCCGTTCCCCGATGCCCGCGACCACGCGACCACGGAAACCGGCTGCGCGAGCGCTTTCCTGTGGCGGCGCTCCCCTCCCCTCGCCTATCCTTGAATCCGCGCGCTTTTCAAGAGCGCGCCCTGAGCGGAGTGCACGCGCGTACTCGCGGTCAATGATCTCGTTTTTTTGCACGCACCTCGTGCGTAGCGCGAATAATTATTATGCATTCGCACAACGCGTACGGTAATGGGCAAGTGTAACAGTTGGCATTTCGCACTACGTAATGTTACCAACTAGATGTTTTCCGATCGTAACAGAAATAAGTTGTGTTGTTTATTTATTTTGGAATAAATATCAATAGTATTTTTTCTATATACAATACGAGGGCCGCGGATTTGTGGGTGCTAACGACTGAAGATGCAGCCGGGACCGACGGTTTAACAGGCCTTCCGGGAAGCACGAAGAAGCTCGAGATAATAAGTTGGTCACCCATCCAATGACCGGAAATTGCGAAAGTTGTTTTAAAGAAAGAGAAACAAAGATAGTGGAAGTTGAAAAAAAATCCACGATCGTAGGCTGAACGCGCTAATCGCCTGCGTCATCGAGCTCCTAAGATACTTGTTGCAAACTTATGGCGATAATTTATGTATTTGGAGAAAAACACCGCTACCCACGTGATTAACGAGAGTGTGAGTGTGAGTGAATGCAGAGAGCTCTGCAAAATATAATTATTACATTAGTGGCGATCACTGAGCTCAGCTGAGGTTAACGGAGGGCCGAGGAAAGAGGGGGGCGGGGGAGGGGGCGCGGCGATCATCACGTGATGCATAATCATATTTTGTTTTGATTACGATACAACACTGGTTTATTGGCGGCGCGTCGGAGATCGTACACCGCTCCCTTGTATGGACACTGAGCGGCGTTGTCTTCTCTTAGTGTTCTGTTTATTTCGCAAAACAACCAAGACTGAAAGTGGCATACGTAAAACAGATAACAAAGAGATCACTTGTCATGTGGAGAGCTGTACGTATTTGTCTATTGGCTGATTAGATAACGGCCGAGCAGATTATGCTGCTGCGTCTTAATATATTTTGCGACTGTGTAGCTTATCTGAGTACCTACGGTGTCAGTATCAGTATCAATGAAATGTATGATCATATAGTATTTGTTGTGACGTAACAATAAAAAATGAATAAGTACTTATAAAAAAACGAAACCGATACCGTTAGGGGGAAAAAACCAAATGAAAGCTATTGCCAACACACTGTACCATCATTATATCACATATCACGTGGTAGCTATATGAGAAAGTTTTTATTATATTTCTTGATGTGTACTCAGTTCTTTATTATTTTTTTAATAAAAACATTAGTAAAACGTATTTTTCCAATACTTACATGACACCACGACTAAATCTAACTTTTTGAACTTGTTAAAGTGCACATAAAACCAAATTAAATAGGTACTTAAGTTGCTGTTGAAAGGAAAAAATATTATTAATATTATCTCATTGGAATGTAAAAGTTTATCTACAAAAATCTATCAAAAAGTTATATACATATTATTATCTTGGCTATCCAATTTAATTAAATTCATTTTTACGTTCACTTACTCGCACCTACATTTTCATGAACTATTTGTTCACAAAATTGCTTTAAAAACAATTCGCATCGCTATTATGTAAATTAATTATGAGAATTCCTGAGATGCGCGTACGCAACGAAATTTGCGCGCGTTGATATCTTTACTGCGCCGACGACGCTCTCCCGAGAAGATGCAAACTAATCTATTATTTAGATGGTGCGTAAGACTTAATAGCTCGTTCATAGATTTGTTTATAGATCACAAAAAATAAATAATAAGCAGTCGTCTAAAAATATTTATAAAGCAATTCTTTATAATACTCAGGTATAATACTCATAAACAGGTTATGTTATATGCGCCGTCGCCGCCGTATGCGTGCGACAACAAGGTTTTTACGTCCCACTTCCCAGTCATGTGACTGAAAACGAGTTCATTATCGTGTCAAAATAACATAACAACAAAAAAATAAACACAAAACCCCGCCTGATTCATCATTAAGTATAAACAGATACTAAAAATTTATAAATAGTCCAGTAGTTTAGTGCCTATTCTATTAACTAAGGAACAAGGCTACTTAAACAGTCGGGACTAGTGATGTAAAATTTGTAAATTGTAAAAATGATGTAAAATTTTGACGATCTCCGTGGCCGAGTGGTTTGTACGCCGGGTTCCATGGCGTCGCCAACTCGAGAGGTCACGGGTTCGAATCCCGGTGGGGGCAGATATTTGTGTGATGAACACGAGCATTTGTACTCCAGTCATGGATGTTTAAATATGTATTTCTATATAAATATACTTATATATGTAAAGTATGTGTATTCTATCCGTTACCCTAGTATCCTATAACACAAGCCTAATAGTGCTTACTTTGGGGCTAGGCTAATTGGTGTGAGTTTTGAACATATTTATTTATTTATATTTATTATTTATTTATTTTATTAAAAAAAATAACTGTTTTTTACCATTTAAAAAAAAGACAAAACACTTAGGACCGTTTTTTTCCAGAAAACAATCTTTAAGTAATTAATAAATTATAAAGGTATATGTATTGTGTCCAATTCCACACATATTTCTTAAAAAAACTTACAATCTCAAATGCGCTCAGTTAAATGCTTTCAAACTTCAAATTCAAACAAACACAAAACCCGTACCAATTCTTTAAGTGGTTGGTAATTTTCAACTCGTCATCATTAATCTTTATTGGAAATTCGTGAGAAAAAAAACAGGTTCCAGAAAAAAGTTTTAATTCATTCTAGAATATCTAATATGTAGGTCTCGAGTGTTGAAATAGCTTTGTTCTTTACTTAAAAGAATTTTATACCGCTGCCTAGACTTTTTACCAAACTGCGGAGGTTCTATATTTACTGAATTTACTTCCTAAACCCTTGTCTTAAACCGCTTGATCGGTTATAAGCATATTTTTGTTTGATTTTGGCGTCTAAAATCAGCCGCTTTATATTTTTTTAAAAATTAAGTGCACCCAGTTTCACTCACACAATCAAAAAAAAACAAATCATTCCTCGCATGTTAAAAGTCATCCAGCCGTTCAGACTGTAGAGTGTGCCAAAGAAATGGACATACATTGACACGCTCGAAAAAATATTACCATCCGCAGTCGGGTGAAAATATTGCGATCTACCAGGATAAGTTGAGAGCGCCTCATGTGAAAAGGAAAGGATTCCGGAAATAACAAAAAAAACTTATTATACATTCATTTCCTAAATATTATTTAAACGATTCTGAATTTAATTGTGTGAAACGAAAAGATCATAATTAATGTTCTCTTTCATTACATTGATTGTACGATTAATGAAGGGAAAAACATTAAAATTACTATAAATTTACTATAAATGCCCACTCGCTGACTCACGGTTTAATTAGCAAATCAAAACTTTACTTACAATCATTATACTGTATTTAATCAAACGTTGTCGTATCTGGCGCAATGATACTTATTTAAGTACTTATTAGCACATATTTTAATGTTTTTGCTATACCTACCATAGTTTCACCGTGGGTCATCAGAAAACCTTGTACGAATAAACTGGGCGAGGGCTCATTTTTTTATTTTTTTTTTGCCAGAAAAACTATAACCGGACAAAAAAGACAACAGCGTTGAAAGTAACATTTGGCAGAACAAGCTGCATAGTTCATGTTGTTACACAAAATCGATTCGAGTGTGAGGTCATGCATATCGCAGTGAGAGATGTCAAAACATGTTGTCTACAACTCGACCACCCGCGCCCTAGCGGTGACGGGACTGGCACTAGCAGCCTCGTAGTAGTTCCTTCCTACTGACTTCATCGCAGCCTTATTGACGTTAACTGCATATACTAACATCAAGAGATAGATAAATCTTTTACAACTTTTCTTCGTGACTTGGATCGTTTCACATTTAGCAATGTCTATATATCTACCGGTTGATTACAATTAGAATGAAATATGTACGCTATATCAATTTAATTGAAGTAAAAAAATGCTCCCTAAAAGTGTATAGAATTATTTTGGATCAAACCCAAATCAGGATTATGCGAGGGAAAACTTTCCTCTCGAGTGATGGATGGTCTTTGTGTGTACGCAGATCTATACCGATCTGCGGAAGTGGCGACCTGTAGCTACTCGCTCGCGCGCGCACCTGAACGCTGTCGCCGTTTCAGAGGCAGCGGCCGGCAGCCGCCCTCGCGGTGTCGTCTGCCACAGTAGACGAGTGCGGTATCAGGTGTACGGGCTGCAGGGCGGCACGCGGGGCGCGGGGCGCGGGGCGCGGGGGGAGGGGGTGACGTGCCGGGAGCGCAGCCTCCGCGGGCGGCGGGCGGCGGGCGACGGGCGGGGGGCGGGGGGGCGGCGCGCGCCGCATCTCCTTGTGTGCCGCCGGCCCTCAGCCGCCAGTCGCGCTCGCACAGCGCACACGATCGCACGTACCGACGTGCCCCGCACCCGCACCACGAACCGCGACACTCGCTCCGCTGGCCGTCCTCGCGGCATGTGCAGCTGACAGGAACCTCTCGCAGCCGACACGACCCGCCCTCGCAAGTGAGTCTCGAGACTCTTGTCTGCCCGCTATCGTCCCTCGTCGCCCGCTCGGCTGCCACCCCGACGCCGGCTCTTCGGCATCAGCTGACTCCGCACCGTCCTGGGTCGGTGCCCGACCTCGTACGTGATAGTTATCAGTGTACATAATATAGTGACCTGCCGACTTCGCATCGATTCCTGTGAGTAACATATTCCTTTTTGGAAACGCTATGACACCTTAGCCTATTTAGAAAATTGATTCGCTAAAGCTGGTTTACCGGTGCGCACCTCTCGGGTCCGTCGTCTTATTTAATATACAATTAATTGATGACAATACGAAAATGATTAAGAAAACATGAATTATATGCCAAACTCGAAAAAAAAATTCCGATGTTAGTAATGAAGGTTGACAATAAAAGTGCAATTTTTCTTTCGATCAAATAATTTCGTATTCAGAAAAGCGTCATCCAGGCCAAAATATTCAACTCCACAGCCATTACCTCCCTAAAACAAAAAGATAAAAATACATATTGCTCTTATGAAGAGTCTGAACAATAGATAAAATTGTTTGCATGTGTTATTAATTATAATGTTAGACACCGGCGGTATCCGCACAAGTAATAATAACATGTATTACAGCAATAGTTTAATAAAATATCTAACATAGTAGAAGATGAAAACGATCCAAATTGATATGCAATAAATATATTTTATTACTGAGAAAAAAAGGGAAAAAACTAAAATAGGTATTTATTTCCTTTTTTTTGGAGAGAAACACTACGAAATGTACCAAGTACCTATATTAATTAAACAGCGAAGTATTCGTGTCATTAGTTTGCATTATTGACGTCATATGTTTGACGTCAAAAGTTGATAAATAAATCAACAGAACTTCTAACAATAATAATAATAAGAAAACAAACATTCGTAGCTTAGTTTGAGAGAAAGTTCAGAGCCCACATTACAAATTGCGCGTTCTGCGAGCAACGTGAGTTGTGTGCAGAAAACCAATTCAAGCTTAGAAAATTGAATATGCAGCTTAATTAAACTCGTTCCCGAGTTAAAGTTAGTCTGCGACAATAATGTCGGCATTAGAATCAAATGACTGTTCAATCGATTATTGAATTGATTTTATCAAAAACAATTTGCAAGAAACCGAAGCTTCAATATTAAAAATAATAAACGATAAGGAAAACTACTGTGATAGATTGACGGATTGTGCTGGAGGCACCGTTTGCCTCGTGCGACATACTTATAGCCGTGCTGCCGTCTGCCTCTCTTCACGTTGCTAGATATTTTTATTTAACAGCACAAAAGGGTGTCAATACCTGGACACCTACTTTACACTTTTTCGGTCGTTAGATTTGTTCACCCAAAACCGGTTCTCGTGTTGACTAGGGCACTGTGATTCATATTATGTTTCTACATCGATCGTCCTCAACCACCACTAGCGAAGTCTTAATTATGAGAAACATTTTATCGTCATATAAATCCAAATATACATATTTTGCACTTTGAACAAAGTGTTGAAGTAGAATTACTATATTTTTCAAATTTTATAGAAGTTCTTAAATGAAATAAGGTTACATAACATACATTCCCGCTGACGGCAGTAATTTTCTTTCAGCGACGACAGGTAGAAGATAATGTAGATATATTATCTTGAATCCGATCGACATCTGATTATCTTAAGTAATCTTATTTGATGTAAACTTGATTGATTGAAGTTACGTCTAGGTATTTAAACGAAATTTAAAATTTAAGAACTCTGAAATATACGATCAACTTTATGTTAATAGGTACTTAGTGTTGAGAATTAACAACTTGATTCCTCTTTTCGAGCACTGCAAATATAAAGATAAATGGTAAAAAATTTTGGGCATATAATACAGAAAATATACACAAACACACAATAGATATTCTGAGATCATGATTTTGATGGAGTGGTAGTGACAGATAGCAGTAGGTAAGTAGGGCTGGTTTTTTTGTTGTTGAGCTCTGGGATTTCCCCGGGGAACATTTGTACGGGACATATTTGATCCCGGTATGTCGCAGGTGCGTTGTCGTTATATTGCCTCACTTGGGTTGGAATCAAGTTAACAGCCTAAAACCTGCACTTAAGTTTACAACCTGATATTAAAATCGATACTAAAGTGACAAGTGTGTAGTTTCCTCCAGTAATTAACTAATTATCAAGGCTAAACAATATTGACATTATTGGTCGCTCTTACGATTGTATCATTCATAGGTACATTGTACATTTGAAAATAGATTATAATATACAATAATACTAAAAAAATCTATAACACCTTTGAAATATCGTACGGACGATATAGTGAAAAGGAATACTAAATTTCCAAAGTTATGGCCATAATTTAACAAAATACATTACTCAAAGTCAGCCATTACATGTATTATTGAAAAAAAGTCTTATACAGTTCAAATTAAATGTTAATCTAAAATAATTTTAAGTTTATATGTAATGTATTGAATTGAAGTGGTCGCAAATACTAAATTACAACCTATAAATAAAAAGGCATAGCCTAGTATAGGAGTCATTGCATTTGATATTTGTATTGACAATACGCTACGCATTGTTAATCAACAGTTAAAAACGACAACTCTGTTTACTGGAAATTCTCATTTCTCGACATTTTTCAGATGAATATAAGTTATTATTAATACAGAATAAGAAAATTTATGTTAAAATCTCTTGAACATCATTCGTTCAAAACTTTCCAGAACTCGAATCAAGGAACAACATATGTTTTTCAGGGTTGACAATTGCTTTGTTTAGTCAAGTTCATGAAAACCGCTTTGTTATTTATGTGAAAATCATGCGGAATGTCACATGACAGGTGTTTATTATAATAACACTAAAATAAATTAAAAATGGCGCGCAGTTTTAAATGTGCGTATAGCGGAACATCTCGATTTCGTGTAGTAATGTGTGTGTGTGTTGCGTGTGCGCAGGATGATCCCGCGACGCAAGCACAACGCCTCCTCGGGCTCGCTGCCCGCGCCCGACGAGAAGCACGCCAGCAACGACTACATTGGTATGGATTACTCTTTTGTTTTTTATTAACTGTGTATTGTTTAATTAGCTTATGTACGTAATGGCGGCAATCCACCAAGTATTCGAGTTTGCTATTTGTAAACTTGACAACAGTCTCTCCTTTTCACGAATATGTATACTTGTTACTTCAAAAGAGAGAACTCAAATTAATTTAATACTTTCAATGTTTATTGAAATGAAGTATTTGTTAATGCAGTTTCGGATGGCGCCAATAACGAAGGATGGAAAGCCGCCTTACGCCGGCGGTTCAACCGCAAGACGTTGAACAAGCGGCTGCCGATCACCGCGTGGGCGCCGCAGTACAACACAGAGCTGGCGGTGGGCGACCTCATCGCGGGCATCACCGTCGGCCTCACCGTCATCCCGCAGTCTCTGGCCTACTCCAATATCGCGGGGCTGCCGCCGCAGCACGGCCTCTACGGCTCCTTCCTCGGCTGCTTCATCTACATTATATTGGGCGGCTGCCGCGCCGTGCCCGCCGGGCCCACCGCCATCGCCTCGCTCCTCACCTGGCAGATCGCCAACGGAGTCGTCGAGAAGGCGATATTGCTCAATTTCTTAACCGGCCTCGTGGAACTGCTGATGGGCGTGCTCGGCCTCGGCTTCCTCATCAATTTCGTGTCCGGGCCTGTCTCATCCGGGTTCACGTCCGCCGTGGCGCTCATGATCGCCACATCGCAAGTCAAAGATCTGTTCGCGATCACCGTCACCGGCAACACTTTCCTGCAGCAGTGGATATCGGTGTTCCGCAACATCCACAACGCCTCGCTCTGGGATCCTGTGCTCGGATTCATTTGCATCGTACTTCTGTTACTCATGCGAGTGAGTTGCGATTCGATCACAACTTCTATCGGAATACGTCATCTTCCGTGTTGTAAAACTGTGCTAATACGAAATATTAAATTTTCAGAAAATCGGAATGATCCAATTGGGACAAAAATCTGACGACGGACCGAACACTCGGCAGAAAGCTTTGAACAAATGCATGTGGCTACTCGGCACGTGTCGGAACGCCATCGTGGTGGTGGCGACCGGCATCCTCGGCTACTGGTTCGTGAGCACGCAAGGCGAATCGCCCGTGCGCCTGATGGGTCAGTGTTCGCTTCGATCCACTCAGTGTGTTTTTGCTTATAAACGTTTAACTGACTGATGGAATTTTCTTTGTTTGTGCTCTCCAGCCGATAGTAATTTTGGCGGTTAGTAAACTATCATGCGCCTCAATATCACACATCATCGAGTAGATTTAGCGTAGATTACAGTAGCTCAGTCGGTCGCATCCATCACGTAGTTCGATCCGTCTCTATGCGATCTCTCAGCGCGGTCGGTAATCGTTTCCTTGCACACAGGCGCCATTCCATCGGGCGTGCCGATTCCGCAGCCGCCTCCGTTCGGTTACATCCGCGCGGACAACACCACCGCAGACTTCCTGGACATGGTTTCGGAGCTGGGGTCGGGCATCATCGTGATCCCGCTGATCGTGCTGCTGGAGGACATCGCGATCTGCAAGGCGTTCTCCGACGGGCGCACGATCGACGCGACGCAGGAGATGATCGCGCTGGGCGTGGCCAGCATCGGCAACTCGTTCATGCAGGCGTACCCGGGCGGCGGCTCGCTGGCGCGCTCCGTCGTCGCCAACGGCTCCGGAGTCAAGACTACCTTCAACGGCCTCTACGCAGGTGACTACTTTAACCCTGCAATTATACAAATGTAAAACATGATTATCGAACAATTTATACTCATCGAAACAGTCTAAGCGACATGTTGCACGGTTTTGAACTATTTTGCTATTGTGACTTATTTATACTATACTATTCGTATATAGATTGTATTTACAATACAATCGAAATATTTATGTTTTTCAAATCAGTCAACTATATTTTCGAGGACATTTTTTCTTATTTACAAATCTTCCTTGCTAAGGAAAGAAGATTAATAAAACATACAGTCTATGTAAATTATGTGTGTTGCTTAGACTTTTTCGTTGTGTGTATTTACAATATTGAGGCTTCGCTAAGGGAACAGAATATAAATCCTGATGACCTGATCCTGATCCAAAAAAATTACAACAGGACAATAATGGTAAACTTTCTGTTTAATAATATAATAACTGTCACTTATAATTATCTTAAATAACTCCCGCCACTAAACAATCACACACAGTCATAATACTTTGTATTATGCCTTCCTCATAAAAATTGATGAGCCTTGGATATAATTTGTAATGACTCTAATTCTTCACTTATTTACTATTATTTGTTCTTATCACATCATCGGTATCACAATTGAGTTCTGTGCTGGAAGCTGGAACAATCTTAGCATATGTACATTAGACGACTGTTAAAGAAATGTTTTTGGATATTATTTTCATTTATTTTTAATAGTACATTTTGAGCATTATTTACCTATTAAATCTTATTAATTAAGGGGCATTAACTTAACTGGAGGGGCATTAACGTGGAGGAGCTCGATAGCGCAAGTGGTTAGCGCGTTCGGCTGCGATCGTTGATGTTAAGCAACTTTCGCAGTGGTCGGTCATTGGATGGGTGACCAAACATTTACTATCTCGAGCCCCTCCGTGCTTCGGAAGGCACGTTAAGCCGTTGGTCCCGGCTGCATCTGCAGTCGTTAGCATAGCACCCACCAATACGCACTGGGCCCGCGTGGTGGGTTATGGCCCAATCTCCCTATTCCATCCATAGGGAAGGCCTGTGCCCCAGCAGTGGGGACATTAATAGGCTGATGATGATGATGATGATTAACTTTACTGATTAAGGAAGACATACGATACGATACGATTTAAAAGTTATTCATTTTGAATGACATTATAACTTACATATATTGCTATGGTATAGCCAAACCACGTTCTATCGAAATTGAAAACAACAATAAGTACCTCAACCGAAACTAATAAATATTTATAAGAGAATATCGTGTCTCATACACCCGCGCCGGCTCTATTCGCACACGAGACACGGTGCCGCCAGTAGTCGGTCGTCAGTCAGTCAGGTTTTCTCAATATAGCAAATCGAGCAGTTAATGAGCAAAATTCAATTAACGAGTTTGTTAACAATACGCTAGCCTAAACGATTAAATTAGTCCTATTCTTCAATATCATCAAATAAAATGTAGCTTTGTTCTCGTGGAATTCGTTTTCTGTAATAAATTTCGTGAACAAAATCTGATCGCCGCTCCCTGGACCTGTGTAAGCTGTCGCTAAAGCGATAAATTACGTCGATCCGACGTTTCGGTGGTACGTGATGGAAGGGGAGCCTACAATAATCTTTTGGAATTTTATAGTCGAGATAGGATCAGGAAGGTTTTATTACTTTGAAAGTCAAATTAATTTTAGTACTATAACGTAAACATTGTTGAGTCTGAAACCAACTAGGTCCGCTGTGCTCGTTCCCATTGACAATGTGGGTATCGTATCTGTGTCGCAGGGTTGATGGTGATTCTGGCGCTGCAGTTCTTCACCCAGTACTTCGAGTTCATCCCGAAGGCGGCGCTCGCGGCCGTCATCATCTCCGCTATCATCTTCATGGTCGAATACAACGTCATCAAACCTATGTGGCGCGCCAAAAGTGAGTATTGTATTTTGTTTTTATAATTTCCCTTCATTATCAAGTACCTATGATACAATCAAGCATGGATCATTGGCGATCTCCGCGGTCTTCATGGCGTCGCCTACTCAGAGGTCCCGGGTTCGAGGCAAATGTTAGTATGATAAATACGAGCATTTGTGCCGTAGTCGTAGTATGGATGTTTATATCTATCTATACACTAGTAGCCCGCCCTCGCTTCGCTTCGGTGTAGAGCTGTAGTGTAGACTATATATTTGTTCACAGGCTTGTATTATACACAATGAATTTGTCAGTGGCGTAGCATAGGTCACTAGCACCCGGTGCGGATTCCAGCCGCCCTCTTATTTTTGCAATCCATTATAAAAAAATTGAGGCATGGTAAAAAGAGTACTTTTATTGAATAACACTAACCTAAGAGTGAAATTAACATTTTTTGACATAGAGTAGAAGGTAGACTATCACAATATCACTTAGAAAAATTACAGAGAAAACGTAATACAATAATTCCTAAATAATAGTTATTGAGAAACCTTGCGCTTGCGTCACCCATGCATAGAACCTGCATAGGTACCTGGGTATTTGGTAACAACAACAAAAAAATGACGAAAAAAAACTGAAAGAACCTCCGCAGCGCCGCCCCCGGCAAAGTGCCGCCCGGTGCGGACCGCACCCCCCCCCCCCCCCCCCCCCCCCCCCCCCCCCCCCATGCTACGCCACTGGAATTTGTTTATATAATGAAATTATAAACGTTTCATGAACATTTATGTACGTGATGGTCAAAATTTTGTTTCGTAGTTTAGGACCCGTTGTACTTTGACTCGAGTATGGGTCGTACAAAAATTTTATTTAGGTGTTTTATTAATCAATATTTTATAATATTTATAAATTAATAATATTAATAAATTATTATTTATATCAATGACATACTGTATAGTGTTAAGGATTTATTTATTCAACTCTTAATTCTAATTATATTATTATCATAATATTGAATTGAATGAGTATAAGGATGTATTGTTTAATGTTTTTAGTGATTGTTGTGTTGCATGAAATTAAAAAATGGGTGCGTGTACTTATGTAGGCGCGTGAGAAGTTATCCTTCTTTCGCATCGTTTAAAATTAGTTTTTAATTGCATGGAAATAATTAATTACAATAAATTAATAAAAAGTCTGGAAAAGGACACAGTCAATAAAGTTCAGTTTTAATTTGAAAAAATAAATAAATAATCAAAATATTCAATTAAAATCGCTACTGAATATAATTTATTATAACATATGTGATTTGCACTTGTATGAAACTCAAACACGTATTCCGAATATACAAACTAGAAACATGTGGATAAATATTATAAATATGAATACCTATAACTGTTACTTTATTACAAAAAATAAAGATGTGGTTTTTGGTTCTACTACACCAATGGTCAAGAGATGGCGCTGTAGTCTCCTGAATCGCGCTTTGGTTCCGTTGTTCCAGATTAATAAATACTTTTGATAGGCCTTCACAATGCAGTCGTTAGCACCCACTAAATAGAGATTCTATTTCTATTTTGTTGGTAGATTTTCTTAATGTGCGGTAAACACAAAAGTAACAGCATGAAGTTGGTCCAACTTCATGCTGTTAATTTTTTGTGTTACAGTGATGCGCGCGCATCTTAAAATTTCACTCTCATCATTTTTTCATAACGCGCCTAAAGAAGTATAACTTCAATTAAAATTTCTTGACAGTGAAGCATTTTATAAAATGTTTTTGTTTCCGTGTCGTCAGAGCTGGACCTGATCCCGGGTATCGGCACGTTCGTGTTGTGCCTGACGCTCCCGCTGGAGCTGGGCATCCTGACCGGCGTGGTGGTCAACATCATCTTCATCCTGTACCACGCCGCTCGCCCCAAGTTCTCGGTCGAAATGCTTAAGGTGAGCTCTATTGTCTATTTGACATTAATTTAAATCGATTCAAGTCAGGATCATAATTTGAGTATAGATTTTCTTCGAACGTTACCGAAACGTTTCTTATAATTCGAGCCCTTACCGCCAAATTATCGTAAGTGACACTCGCCAAATTATCGTAAGTGACACTCGCCAAATTATCGTAAGCGACACTTTTGTCGAAATGCGTTTATTGTGGAAACTAATATTTTAAACCGTAACGGACCCATCTCTGTTGATATTTCCCTCTATTATATTGTAACGGTGTTCTTTTGGAGGGAAATATCAACAGAGATGGGTCCGTTATGGTTTAAAATATTAGTTTCCACAAAAAACGCATTTCGACAAAAGTGTCGCTTACGATAATTTGGCGGTAAGGGCTCGATATGTTCCCCCAACTTCCAATGAGGAGGGGGACGGGCGACGAAGTTGTCATCGGTGAAAGCGCTCGTATTAATTTTCTCGTTGCGAGTCAAACGGAGACCGAAATCTGGTGTTAGACTTCGGTACAATAGCAAATAACTTTTTGTGCGAACAAGCAATCTCGAGCCCCATCCCCCTAACGACGATATATATAATTATACGCACAAACATACATACATAAATATTATTGAACTTGACATTGAAATTTAACAAATATTATTTTTATCTTATTTTTTAGTAGTGGTCCGCCTATTAATCGATCGTTCGTTTATATAGATGAAATGAATTTTCTTCACTTAAATGATGTATGAATTAACAATAGTGACATTGAGTACCAAACTTTTTCAATCTATAAACTAACATAGAAATTTGAATGTAACTCCTCTCTTCTATCTATCTCTCATTTAATCGCGTGCCCGACAGGGTCCATAATGATCGTATTTTGTCATACTTAACATCTTTTTGCACATTGTGGATATGCAATAAACGAATAGAATCGAATAGGGATGATGACTAATTTTTTTTTCTTCGTTCATCAGGTAGATTATCAAAAAGTATCGGACACGTATTTTTTCTTTTTTCACATAATATAAACATTGCAGAGATATATCGATTGGAAAAGTCGAACGACGTCACGTTTGAGTACACTCATAAGCGAAAATTCACTCAAAAGCGACGTCACGAGCCCCCACTCCCAAACTTTGACGCGCTCTAACTTTGTCATTTTTCGGTCGATCGCCCAAAGAAAAAATACGCGTCCATTATTTTTTGATCATCGGACTGACGGACTAAACATAATATCGCGTACCGTACCCCGTCATCACCCCTACTGACGCCGCCGTGGTTCCAGACGGAGGCGGGCGTGGAGTACCTGATGGTGACGCCGGACCGGTGCCTGATGTTCCCGTCGGTGGACTACGTGCGGCGCCTGGTGACCAAGTGCGCGGCCAGCAGCTCCGTGCCCGTGGTGCTGGAGTGCACGCACATCTACAGCGCCGACTACACCGCCGCCAAGTCCATCGAGCACCTCACCGCCGACTTCCACGCGCGCCGCCAGCCGCTCTACTTCTACAACGTGAAGCCCTCCGTGTGCTCCATCTTCGAGGCGGTCGCGAAGCCGGAGCACTTCGTGGTGTTCTACGAGGACGAGGAGCTGGACCGCCTGCTGGCCGCCGACGAGCGCCTGCAGCCCCGCAAGCCGCCCGCCGCCCCGGAGCCCTGAGACCCGCCGCTCCTCGACCTTAGCGTCGCGGAGGAGACTCGCGTTTCGGAAAGAGAACATGTGCCGCGTATATGAGATCGTTTATTTTGTAAGTCTGTACATAGATTCGTTCGAGTGTCGCTCCGGTGCGAGACTCGAGCGGCTCGGTCGGGTCGGGGAGACGCGAGTCGGCGGCGCTCGCTCGCCTATTTTTGTGATGTACCTGTTGTGACGAGTCGAGGTCCGCGAGATGCGATACCTCGAGGTGGAGGTGCCGGCCCCGGGCCGGTGTCGCGCTAGCTTTAATGGACAGGGAACGGACGGGCGTCGGCCTGGCCGACGGGCCCGCGGTGATGATACAGATTCTATTTAAGATGAGACTTCACTATTTACATGAGATGCGATATTTATTCGAAAATGTAGTTTAGGATTTGACTTTGAAAGTAAAATTAAGCGTTAACTCCGATAGCGGCGGCCTCGGCCGCGGGAGCGCCGCGCCGCCCTGCCGCTCTCCTGCGGGCGCTTCGGTGTCGAACTATTTATATTAGATGAACGAAGTACAATTTAGTTACGCGGTAATTTATTGTTGTAAGTGAGATTTAAGCTTCCGGCGGAGTGCAGAGCGTGCCGTCGGTCCTTGCGCTCTTTCGAAGAAACCGAGTGCACGAAAGTATATTTTGTGATATATTTTGATTTTATAATAACATGTTGAAATTTTAACATCGCACATATTCGTACTATATTTCTAAAACACATCAATCCTTGTCTTGTCGATTCTCACCGCCGGTAATACGAGGGACATATCGATCCCGACGGTATTACTCGTGAACCTTTCGACAGCCGCTGAGGCGACGGCCGCGCTCTCGCGTCGCGGCTGACTTAATATTATTTTTGTGATCCTCGGCTAATACTTAAAGTTATGTGTAAGTAGAGAGTTATTTAGGAGAATATTTTGAATTAAAATAGATAGTATTACGGTTCAAAACTACCTGTGGTGTGATGAAATGTATGTGCCGTATGAGAGTCGAAGAGAGTGAATACTGTTCCAAGAACAAAAAATAAATAAACTCTATGAGAGTAGAATATGTTTTTTTGTTTCTATTACCTCCAACCATGAATTTACACCTCGAGCTATATCAAAGCGAAAAGGTATACCCTTGACAGGCATGAGTGGGTCGGTGGATGCCAACGACTAGATTTGCAGCCGAAATCAACGAAGCGGCTCGAGATATTCTGTGGTCACATCCCATGACTTGTCACTGTGCAAGTTGCTTATCTTCCGCAATTATATACACTTACAACTGCGCCATCGAGCTTCTAGACACATCATTACCTATGCTCACAGTCAGAGAATTTTGTTCGATGACTTTTGCAGTACAGTTTTGTGCTTCTCCATGCATTAACCCTTAATTTGGCAATCGAAGTTTGGAAATTTTATTGAAAAAAGCTGTAAAGACCATAATATATAGGATCATAGAAAGTAGAAAAGAGATTAAAAAAGAATTAGAGATCAGAAGAAAAATGCATATTGTACTAAAAATATACAAGTAAGATTCCTTGGTATGTAGGAACAGGAATGAGCAGACAGTTGATAGTGATCAGTATGAGATTGCGTTCCAGATATATGTAGAAATGGGCGTAGTCCAACCTCCCGTGGCTTCAGCCCTGTTCCCCTAGGGTTAGTTAAGGAATTACCTTGAGTACTATAGGTTAAATGATTTATCCACAGTCACGGCAGGATTACATCGACTGGAGCGCTGCTTGCAGCCTTTATTGTAATAATCCTTTATTGTGTATAAAGAAAATATCTCCTTAATGCCAAAGATTTCAATCGTTATGGAGGCCATACACGTTAGGTTTTGCATGATGGTTTTAACCGTGCATTCATAACCGACATGCATAACCGAGTTACATGCACCGAAAACTATACAGTTTTATCACATACACGTAAGGGCTTGCCTGTCGGTTATGCATGTTCGGCTAAAACCATGCAAAACCTAATGTGTATGGCCTCCATTAGATAAGCCCTTACCATAGTTTGACCGCTCTGAAAAATACAGCACTCGAATAGGCTAAGTAGTGTATCATCATGGCTTGTCTATTCAGTGTTCATCTAAATGTAGTGGCAGTTTGACGTTTGTGAATAAAATACCGCAGGCATTTTTGCGAGAAAAGTGTATAAAAATGCCGTCGCGTGCCTTCCGGAAATGCACTAACAATTCGAGAAATACAAATAAAGCTAATGGTGTAACATTTCACTCTTAAGTTTTAAGATTTCGTTATTTATTAAATTTATTTTCTTTCATTGTCATAAATACCGTTCAATTCTAATATATCATAAAATTCCGATAGAAATTAAAAGAGAAAGCAACATAAATACATTTAAAATGAAACTCAAACAACATCTTATCAAGAAAGGATACTATTCGGTAAATGAATTTATGAATGATAAGTGAAACTGTCACGGAAAGCTCACTAACTTATTTGAAACTGAAACTGTTTAGTAGTTGTGGTGATATAGATATTGTACTTACTTGCTACACCCTGACAGGGTCATGTACCATGCTAAAATAATTTTAAGATAAAACTAGTTTTTACGGGTTAATGCACGAAACTTTATTTATTTATTGACGTTTCGCAGCCTTTTCAGGTCTGCATCGTCAGAATATTATATTAATATTATTCTGACGATGCAGACCTGAAAAGGCGGCTCGTCACTAAAACGAGAATGAAGAACAGTAACTAGTTCTTTCGAATTTAGATCATTTTTTTATGAAACTTCATGGGGCTGTCCGCCCAGCCAAATGTCAAAACGCACAGCGCGGTACCGAGAGAATAGTGAGAGAAGAGTCTCTTTTTGTCTTGCAATAATTTCCAACGCTACTTTCTCTGTCATGTGCTGTCCGATCAGATTTCAATATTTATTTATTTAATTAATTGCACATGTACAGTATACATATAATCTTTAAAATTGACGTTTCGCAGCCTTTTCAGGTCTGCATCGTCAGAATAATATTAATATAATATTCTGACGATGCAGACCTGAAAAGGCTGCGAAACGTCAATAAATAAATAAAGTTTCGTGCATTAACCCGTAAAAACTAGTTTTATTTAATGAGTGATGTGCGTGAAAACCTAAGAAACAAATAATTTTAAGATCTTATATATACTGTACATGTGCAATTAATTAAATAAATAAATATTGAAATCTGATCGGAGAGCACATGACAGAGAAAGTAGCGTTGGAAATTATTGCAAGACAAAAAGAGACTCTTCTCTCACTATTCTCTCGGTACCGCGCTGTGCGATTTGACATTTGGCTGGGCGGACAGCCCCATGAAGTTTCATAAAAAAATGATCTAAATTCGAAAGAACTAGTTACTGTTCTTCATTCTCGTTTTAGTGACGAGCACTTAGGCTTAGAACGCACTGCGATTAACCGGGAGCGGTTGAGGAATAGCTGAAAACGCATAACCGCATACAACCACGCACTGCGGCTGGCGTTTAACTTAACTTTATTTCAGTATGACCATGGATTTCTTGCAAGCAGCCTGTATTGTAGCTTTGGTTTTAAAATATAGAAAACGTAAACAACGTAGCCGCCATAGGTACTGGGTACACCCATTAACAGATCAAAGACATTTGAAAGGATACTTTTGCAAAATGTACAACGACGTGCGACAGCATCCAGTTAAATTTTTTAACTACTACAGAATGTCGATTGGTACTTTTGATAAATTATTGCAAATTATGGGCCGGTATCTCCGACATACCGTCAACCGAATGCTGTTAACCGCCGTGCGTGCGCCACCATACTATTACTATGGGGCACAAAAAAATCGCGCGTTTACAAATCGCGATCCAAACGTAGCAAGTTACGTTTTTTTTTTCAATTAAAATTTTGACTATTAGTATGACAACTTTATGGCTTATCAAATTTAGAATCTACTTTGACATGCATGTAATAATAAACAATTGGAAAAAAACATTTATTAAATATACTATTATCTAATACTAGCTTAAAAAAATATATACTATAACAATAAACCTAAAACTAAAAAGCTTAAAAAATAAAATATAATAACTAAAATACATTATTGAAAGGAGTCCCTTAAGGCAAGCTTCCGAAGATACTGGCAGCGTTCCCCCTTTGGATAGCTAGACTAATTATTTGTCCGAGGTAGCTGCCAGCTCTTCGGTCTCATGTGATGTCGACTAATCTTTTTGCTATTTCTTTAAAAAGCCTTATAGCGCCAGGACCATGGACCAAGGATCTCGACACCGAATGGGACAAAATCATATTCGGAGTCTAGACCCCTGTATTTGCTTGCCTTAGCTTTTTCAGCCGCTTCACAAGCCGCACCAGCTCTGTTGTTGGTTCCATGTAGATGGGAAGGGGCCAGCGTGTCTAAACAGGTTGCATCCCATACTAGCACCCGACCCATCTTCCATGGAATCAAACTCATATCGTCCTGTCTCTTGCCATCGTCTCTTGCAATAGCTGTTGATTCAAGTTTTTTAAGTTCTGCTTTGACTTTATCCTGTAATTTAAAAGGTATTTTTCTACATGCTTCGACAGAGGGGTTGATATCAGGCTTAAGTGTTAAATGACATTCATAATTTTTAATTGCTCCAATACCATTGAAAACATCATTATATTTCCCTAATAAATTATGACAATTTGACTGTGAATTGGTAATTAGTGACTTGTTTTGACTGACTTGTTGACTATTGTAACTAGCCTCTGACTTTATTTGACCCTGACTATGGCCGTATACAGAAAGAAAGCCGAAAGCCGATCGGCGCTTATCGGCGCCGATTCTTCCTACATAAAGGAAGCCGATTAAAGCAGATCAAGCAAAATGTCGGACTCATCGGACGATGATTTGGTTTTGTTAGGAAATGTTTATTTAAAAATGCGAAAAACAGGTATACATCCTATAAATAGAGAAAGGAAACGTTTCGGAGAATACCATCATTTATTTGTTAAAGAATTGAAATTTGATGATCAAAGATTTTATGCATATGCAAGAATGACTAAAAAAACATTTAATTACATTTTGGATTTAGTGGAAAACCGTTTGATGAAGAATTGGTGTAATTGGCATAAACAACCAATCCTTCCAGAAGAAAGACTTGTTGTCACCATTCGGTAAGTACGAAACAAATAATTTTAGCGCTTAGTTAATAAAAGATAAAGTTATTAGATTTATAAAAAGATTATAACTTAGATTGATTTAATCTAAGGATAATAATTCAAATACAAATTATTTATAATTCGACAATTAGGCGCCGATCAGTACGGCGCCAACGCCCTTCGAGGTATCTATGATGACATTTTATGTCGCACGCGTCACAAATTCTTCGAGTGCATTTATCGTAAACCGGCTGGATATACTAAATAAATATTTCCAACACTCACACCAATTAGCCTAGCCCCAAAGTAAGCACTATCAGGCTTGTGTTACATCGATAAGTATATTTATATAGAAATAAATATTAAACATCCATGACTGGAGTACATATGCTCATATTCATTACATAAACATCTGTCCTCACCGGGATTCGAACCCGGGACCTCTCGAGTCGGCGACACCATGAAACACGGCGTTTAAACCCCGCGCGGACCGTTGGACAGTCGAGATTTCGCAGAGCTCCGTGAAAAAATGCGAAATAAATACTAAAGTGTCATTTTCTCGACAGGTATCTAATAAACGTTTGTTAATTTAACGCATTGGAAGCAAATTTTGTTCTAATACATACTATAAACTGATTTAATAGAAAATATTTGTGATATTGAAATGCATGGTCGGTAATATAGCTGTCTCTTTTCCTCACGGTCCGTATCTGTTACATTGCGAATAGCGCATTCAGAACTGCGCATAAAATAAAATGAATAAGGTGTATATTCTTCCGCATATAGCAATAAATTCGTAAAATTCTACCTTGCTTGCATTTTGAACTGTCATAACTCTGACGCATACTTTTTAATTAAGACCTTAAAAGTATGCATTAAAGGTGACTTTCAATGATTAAATAATGCCTTATATTGTTTTTCACTACGCGATCAATTTACTCCGTGCTTAGTTCCGTGGATCGTCCAATGTACCTATTAGACAGGTTTCGGCCACGATTTTGTTCGTGAGGTTGTATCTAGGGTATTTAATATCGTTGAAGGGCTCTTAAGACATAGGTAATATTTAAATAAAGAAGTTGTAATACTTAACCGATTTAAATGTTCACTAACTTTATGTAAGTCGACAAACTAAAACAAAATCAATTAATACCTACTCACCGTCTTCATTCATGGCCTCGCTTATTTCTTTCCAACATTTGTCAACCACGTATCTATTACAGTGCCTTTTGTCGGTTTTGTCCCACAGAGATTGTTTAGTGAATACTAAGGATATCAAAATGTCATTATCCATTTTTCTACTTAAAAAATAATTGCGTGTAGTAATTGACGTACCTGTTGTCGTTGTTTATTAATTTAAAATTGCAGCTGACCAGCGCGAGTCGGCGCCGATCGGCGCTGGTCCATAGAAAAAGGATCAGCGCCGATCGGCTTTCGGCTTTCTTTCTGTATACGGCCTATGAATGTTTTCATCAAATGTTACTGATTGGATTCTTTTGAGTAATTTTAATTGTTCACATGACTGTCTTCCAAGTACATTTCTGCAATCTATGGGTGCGGCCAGAGTGCACTCAGATTCAGATTCAGATTCAGATTTCAAAAACAAACGCGAGAAATAAACAGTGTAGTCGAAGGGTACGGCCAGATTGCACTCCTGATTCAGATTCAGATTCAGACTCAGAAAACAAAGCGCGAGAAAAAGCAGGCAACCTGCTTAGACTACACTGTTTATTTCTCGCGCTTGTTTTCGAAATCTGAATCTGAGTCTGAATCTGAGTGCACTCTGGCCGCACCCTATGCCTGTAATATAAAAAGATAAGACATACAATTTGTTTTTGACTTGACAAGAAATTTGACAACAACCAATTGTAGGAATATTTTGTCCTGTGAAAGTTGACAAAGTATATGGAGTTTTTGTGAGCTGTGTTTCCGACAATGCTAGTTTATTAAATGTTTTTTGTGACATGATATTGACATCTGCACCGGAATCAATTAAAAAGGTAACATTATTGTTATTGATAGTTAATGTAACACACCACTGTTCATTGCATTTTACAGAATTGCATTCATAAATGGAACCTAGAAAAAGTGAATTAATATTATTAGACATGGAATTAACTTGTTCAGTTAAAGAATTGACATTTTTTCTATTTGAGAAACACATTTTAGAATAATGATTGAGTTTCTGACAAAAATTACATTTTACACCAATAGCAGGACATTTGTAGCGATGAATTTGACCACATTTATTACATGTTTTTTGTGACTTGTGGTGATGCTCTGACTGAAACTGATTACTAGACCTTTGGTAATATTGGGATCGATAAGGACTGCTAGCACGAGACGACTGTGGGGATGGACTACTATACCTCCGAGACTGATGACTATGACAACTTTGACTTCGACTTCTGTTTGACTGTGTTTTGTTCCTGCGGTGAACACTGGCAATAGCAGACATTGTATTTGATCCTGATGATAATATTTGTGCTTCTTTTCTTGATATTTCTAATGATTTTGCTATATTTTGCTATATTAATTGCTGACTCTAATGTAGACGGAGATTCTTGTAAAATTTTCTCTTTGATATAATGGTAATTATCACTTAAGTTCCAGCTAAATATATCTTTAAGCAAATCATCATGTAGAGAACCAAAATTACATTGCAGTGCTATGTTCTTTAAATCTGTGACATAGGTGTCTAAATTTTCATTGGGCTGCTGCCTTCTATTGAAAAGTTGATGTCTTAGCATCGTAATATTGGCTTTCGGACTGAAATATTCTGTGAACTTGGCGATTAATTCATTTAATTTGACTTTCTCAATGTTAAGATCAAATGAGTAAAAAATAGTTAAACATTCTGGACCAATATAATGAAGAAGCAATGCTACCTGGCGATCCTCCGCTTCATTATCTAAATTAAATGCTTTTAGGTAGATTTTAAATTTGGTAATCCAGTTTTTCCAACTTAAAGATAGGTTACTTGACCGCGTGTTTAGTGGATCCAAGCGTCCTGTGGCTGATGTGCCTTTGGATTCCAGAGGTATGCCCTTTTCTGCCATTACTCACTGGTATTTGCCGTCGACAAATTTTCCACCCCACACCTGATGTGGTTTCTTCAGTAATGATGGGTCTTCTTTATATTTTAATAAAACAATGTCTTGAATTGATACGCACTTTATTAGCCAGCCATGTTGGTGCAAGAGAGAGAGAGGGTGAGAGTGCGACAAAACATATTCAACGTTGGCGTTCCGATTCACCTACGTGACAACTATGACATCATAACTAAAAATACAGCTCCAGAATACAAATTGCAGAAAACAACATTCATAATGCTCAAAATGAACACCAGCAAGTAGGAACGCCATCTGTTTAAATATACGTTCGAGGAAAACGACGCCATAAAATCCATTATCTGAATCTTATGAATGTCAAAGGCTCTCAAAGTGTCTGAGCCGGATGCGATATTCTATGATCCAAACATCATTTAAATTCATGAAGGAAAGTCAATGGCCCCACTGGCAAAGGCGAAAACATCGTTCATCGTTGTTATGAAATATAGGATGTGGGGTTCCATAGATGGGTGGCAGGTGCACGGATGTGGCATATAGATTCAATCTTTGTGTTCGAATGTTTTCACAAAGTTCACAAAATGTTGACAGCATAGATGTTGATCGTGGAAATCATGATGTGCAACCAGTCGATGACTGAACTGATTGCATTTGCTCACTCGAATGGCAACGAGGTGTTGGTCGATAGAGTTGTTTTGGTAAGAAGCTGCGAACAATAATGTCCTTAGCGCAACGATGAAATAAAATGCAGCAGAGTTGGCTGCAAGAATAAAACTCTGACAAAGCTGGAGGATTTCTTGTTTCCCAATCGAGATTTTGATAAACATAGTCGAAGAACCTTCTACGAATACGGCCATCTACACTGGTGAAGTTCATCAGACCGGAGCAAACGGCGTTATTGCGGTTTGTTATGGTTATGGTCATGTAGCACTTGGGACATTCCAATTTCGCAGAACGATTATTTTCTACCAACAGCAAGGAACTCGGTGGAGGACTCGGTGGAGGACTTGGCGGAATCAAATGAAATTCACGCTTGGACTTTGGTAGTATATTGTGGGAATGAAAGATGGTAAAATTACAGAGGCACATGGTTATATCGTCAGGGGTGATCAAATCTATACACGGAGCGTTACCGCCAAAGGTCCAGTATTCTGGAGAATCCATGGCCACGCACTCATGAGATACTGAATAATAACATTCTATACATTCATGTGTTTTCATGAAACGTTCACGTTTTGTCGGCCTGCGACAAAACGTTCGTGATAGATGCTGAAATGATTTTTGTATAGCCTGGACTTGTTCTTCAGTGAATTGTTTATTCTTCAATAGCGTGGTATAGTTCAGCGACTTGAAGTCACTTTCTACTATTTCACCCCAGAAACAGCCTACATCAGCAGGATTGGTTAACTCTAGAAGGTTCTTAGCAGGCTTGACGGTAGATTCTGGCGCTGAAGAGAAAACTTTCTTTGCTGGCGTCGACGCTTTACGCTGATGCTTCTTGGTGGTCGGCTTGTCAGTAGATGAAGCTGCAGGCTTCCGAATCTTCTTAGAGACGACAACCGGTATGCTTCGACGTTCGTCAAATGATGTGGCATGGCTCCTTTTCTCCGCTCGGCCTTTAGGTTTCGAAACATGTTCTTTTTTCACCACAAAAGTTTTCACTGCAGTGCTCTTTGCTGCGACTGATTGGGACTGGGAACGTTTCTTATGCGAATGTTTCAATTTCTTACTCGTAGAAGTATGAGAGCCACCGACTTTCTTATCGGTGTCGGTACCGCGGTATTTAGAAGATGGAACACTCGTAACTGCTGTAACCTTCATCAAGCCGAGCGCACGTAGAAACGTCGGACTAGTTGATCGCCGACGGGCAGTCTCGACTTGACTGAAATCTGCATTAGCTTCACTGGGTGACGCAATCTCGATAGATTGGTCACTCAAAACTTCACTCATAGAGGCATGCATGATAACCCGTTGGATACACTATTCAAATAGTTATATAATGTTTAGCAGAAATGTTTACGTGGCAACGTTTCGGCGCGGCCGATACCGAGGACTGACGGCCGTGCACGCAGTGTTGCCAACTCGGATTTTGAAAAAGGCGTAGGCCCGATGAGAAAATTACGTAGAATTAGTAAATTTTGCATATGAAAAGTAAGTAGATCTACGTACTTTTTTCTGAGTGAAATGAAGAAGTTATTTGAAACCGAATAAAACGAGTATTTTGTTATACAATTTGTTTAAGAACGCGAGATAGAACAGAGAAGTCGCTGCGTTGGAAGCATTTACCATGCTGTGGTAAACATTTACCATCAGACACAGACACTGGTGGGTGCCGATTCTCGATGATTCTCTAAATTTAAAACTTAATTTAACATCAGTCTCTCCTTATCATTCTGTATAGAGAATGACAAGGATAAACTGTTGTTAAATGGGCTAGTTGACACTTTTTGGAATTATGTTTCAAATTGTTAATAATTGTTCTATCAGAACGAAAAAAAAATTTTTGAAGTTATACTTCTTTAGGCGCGTTATGAAAAAATGATGAGAGTGAAATTTTAAGATGCGCGCGCATCACTGTAACACAAAATTTTAACAGCATGAAGTTGGTCGCTTTAGCGAAATTTAATTTATTGTAATTAATTATTTGCATGCAATTAAAAACTAATTTTAAACGATGCCAAAGAAGGATAACTTCTCACGCGCCTACATAAGTACACGCACCCATTTTTTTTTACCTAGAAGACATACAAAAACTCTCTTTAGTCTATAGACTTATCTATGCTATGACGTCAAAACAAACACTCGCAAGCACGTAGGAAATAAACTTTCTAAGTTAATATTATAAAACCATGATTTCTAATAGATCACATGAAAAATATAGTAGTTATCATGATACACTTGGTAAAAGACTCTAGAAAAGTTGTGGTTTAAACTGCCAAGAGAAAAAACATACTTACACATGAACATATGCTTAAAATTTGCTAAATCCTGTAACTTTATCGACTGAAAGTCTTTTCTTTTTGCAAAGATCAATTCGATGTGAGTAGGTACTCATTGATAATATTAAAAGTTTAAAAATATATTTTTTAAGGTTATGAATGTACCTACTAAATCAAAGAGTTTTGTCGTTTCTGCTTTCACAAATCCTGCGTCCAGCGTTAATTTAGTCAACAAAACCAAAAACGGGAACCTTTTCTACAAGATACAAGAGTGTTTAGATACATCTTTATAAGAAATAAACATTTTTATAGTTTTTAAGTAAAGTAACGGAAAATATTCTTCTTTATTCTAGTGAATTAAGTTATTTTACAAATCAGAAAAAAAATACGTAGATTCTGGGACTGAAGTTAGTAGGTTTCCAGAAAAGGCCTAAAATACGTAGATCTACGTAAAAAGACGTAGAGTTGGCAACACTGCGTGCACGAGTGCGAGCGATTATATACCGACTCGCGCCTAGGGGTGTCCACTCTGAAAAAACAATGTATTTTTTGATTCGATACATCGCAACTATACATCGATGTCATTCGATGTATCGGATGAAAACATCGATGTATTTTAAACATCGAGTACTTTTTCTGAAATTTTATTACAAAACTCAACTTATGTGTAAAGTGACCCATCTGAAAAGAGGCCATCTTTTCATAGTAAAAAAAAATACTATTGAAGTTTATGAAAAGACCTTAATCCATAATTTTATTATAGTTTATATATTAATCTTTCATAAAAAAGATTTTACGTGACAACGTCTTTTTCTCGGTAGAATATTTATTGATATGAATATAATTAAATTGCACAATAGGAACAAGGAATTGAATGAAAATAAGAATTGCACAAATTTTAACTATAGAAATATATTTTGTTTACTAAAACATTGTACATGTAAACTTAAACTTAACACGAGAGACTCATCGTAACGTTACCGAGCGTTACACTTTTTCATAAGTGACTCCCAGCCGCAACCTAATTTAAGACGTTGTCACGTCAATAAAAGAATTAACTCCTTTCATAATGAGTAGGTAAAAGTAAATACAAGTAAAAGCCATGTGTCAGAAAAATCTGTATTATATTTTGACGTGACAACGTCTTAAATTAGGTTGCGGCTGGGAGTCACTTATGAAAAAATGTAACGCTCGGTAACGTTACGATGAGTCTCTCGTGTTAAGTTTAAGTTTACATGTACAATGTTTTAGTAAACAAAATATATTTCTATAGTTAAAATTTGTGCAATTCTTATTTTCATTCAATTCCTTGTTCCTATTGTGCAATTTAATTATATTCATATCAATAAATATTCTACCGAGAAAAAGACGTTGTCACGTAAAATCTTCGCCCGTAAAACCGACTTTACAGGCAACCATTTTTTTTACAAAAGATCAAATTAAAAAAACACTAAATACCCGCAAAATTTTTGCTAAGTCTGTCAAAAGAATATTAGAAATATACTACAATCTTAGTTTCGTTCACAAAACTAAAGAAAGAAAAAGTATTTAAAATGTAAAGGTTATTAAATGTTCATAAACATAGAAACTCGTAGTTATTTTTTATTGTCACTGAATAGAATAGAATAGAATAATTATTTATTTGCGTTTGAACAGGGTAATCAAGGTCATAAATAGTTACACATAACTTTACTGTAGGTTTCACCTATTCAGCTATAGAACGTAGCATGCAAATTTACATCAGTTTTTTATCAAATTAATTAATACTATGTCACATGATTGAATAAAAATTACTTAACAGGTCACAAAATAAATAGTCAAAAATATAAAAATTCGATTAAAATCAGGTCATATTAAAATGTGAATCAAAAATATAATTAAATCAGTATATGTCACTCAAAATCTCATCCACCAAAATTACTATTATTTATATATTAGCTATCATAATTCAAGAATTCCTGGACCGAGTAGAATTTACGTTCAATGAGCCATCTACGTAGTGTTATTTTAAATCTACTGAAAGGCAAATCTCTTATTGAATGTGGAATATTATTAAAAATTTGAATGCACATATAGTAACAGTTCTTTTTAAAACGTGTGCTTTTCGGGATTGTATCAATGACTAACCTTTTACCATGTCTTGTATTTGTAGGAAATATCTCACGGGCAGTTTTAAAGTAATTTTGATTTAACTTTACGAACTTAGATATCTCCAGGATATAGAGGCATGGCAGAGGCAAAATATTTAGGGGTTTGTAAAATGGTTTGCATGACATATCTGGTGCAATCCCGCATATTGCCCTTATGCACTTTTTCTGTGCTACAAATACCCTTTGTATGTCCGTACTATTTCCCCAAACAATAAGCCTATATCGCAAGACCGATTCCACATAAGCAAAATACGCTGTTAGAGCCGTATTTTTAGTTGCTGTTTTAGTAAGTTTAAAAAGTGCGTAAGCAAATCTATTTATTTTATTGCATACCTTGTCTACATGTAATTTCCAATCAATTTTTTGGTCAAGCTCAATGCCCAGAAAAGTAGCACTGCTTGTTTTTTTAATACAATGATTCCCATAATGTATATTCAATGTCTGATTGTAACCGTAGTTTATATAATGTGTTTTGTTAATATTGATTTTTAAATTGTTATCATTAAGCCACGTTATTATCGATTCAATTGTTTTATTTATGTCATTTTCATGGTAATTTATGTTTTGATTTTTATCAGTTGTTACTACAACTGAAATGTCATCAGCATATAGGATGCATTTATGTTTCGTCACTTTAGGTAACTCATTCACATAGATTAAAAACAGCAAAGGGCCGAGACTGCTGCCTTGGGGCACACCATAATTAGTTTCTGTGAAATTTGATTGTTCTTTATGTATCACTTGTTTATTACTAAGTTGAGCAATTTCCACTGACTGCATCCTATTTTGAAGGTATGACTTGATCCAACTTAGTGCTTTACCTCTAATTCCACTTTGCTCCAATTTAAAAAATAGTTTATTGTGTGATACAAAGTCAAAAGCTTTTGACATATCAAATAGAAGGACTGAAGTTTCCTTCCTATCATTTATACTTCTTAGAGTATGATCTACTAACTCAAAGGCAGCAAGTGTAGTCGATTTATTTTTCAGGAAGCCATATTGATTATCATTCAATACTTTGTACTTAACAAAGAATGACGTAAGTTTATCATGCATTATCTTTTCATATATCTTAGATAGAATTGGTATTAGTGTAATTGGTCGATAATTGTCTAACTCTAACCTAGAACCTTTTTTAAAGAGTGGCTTAACAATTGAATATTTCAGTTTATCTGGGAAAGTCCCAGTTTCCAAAGATAAATTTATTAAGTATGCTAATATTGTGGCTATCTGATCCCTGCAGCTTTTAATAACCTTTGTGTTAATTTCATCATAGCCTTCAGACTGCACTGACTCTTGCGCAGTACTGCCAACATCGGGTCCATATCAGAGAATTCGGAATAATGATGCTTTCATAATAGTAATAAGTAAAATTTTAGTGGTCAAACTTAAGTATACTGTATACTGAGGTCAAATCAAAGAGGATATTATCACTACGTGGTCAAACTCTATTACCAATTCGATGTTTCTTTAAAACATCGATGCATCGAGTATATTGAAAGCTTTTCAAAACATCGGATCGATTCGATGTTTTTCATTGCAAACATCGATGTTTTCGATGCATCGATGTATATCGAATATCCCTACTCGCGCCTCTCGGGTCTCATAATAAACGCGGACGCGCGAACAGCAGGCTTACTCTTGACTGAATCGAGTTGAGATCAAAATCGAATCAACGTCGAAAATCACTATTTTAGTACTCTGGAAACCGATTGTAGCGCCAATCGAGTTGCGGTCGATTCATGAACTAAGTGACATCGAAAAGCGCCGTTATTGTGTGTGTAATGTGTACCACCGACGCCATCGAGTCGAGATAAATATCACATTGGTATCGAAAACTAACGTCAAAACTCTCGATCTACAAGAAGCTACTTTTTTGTGATCGAATAAACTTTAATTTTAAAGGTTTTTTTGTTTAAAACAATAAACGTAAGTTTCTTTAATAGTGAAAATGTCGAAAGATTATTAATTTTCCTTTGTAAGTAAAAGTGCGGTCGGAGTGTTTGAATGTTTTAAGTTTAATCGGTGTTTTTGTGTTTGTTTGTGTTGTAGTCACTTAGTATGGCACGGCTTGTACTAGCATTTTCTTTGTTAGAAGAAGCCCGAAGAGTTGATGTACGTCAAAGACGCCGTCAGCGCCAAATAGCTCGCTATAGGGCAATAGCACAAGATGTAAGCGAGCAAGAATTTGTGGCAAATTACCGTATCAACAAGGAGATATTTTTGGAGCTGGTGGAAGTTCTCTCCCCATTTTTAAGAGTAGCATCACGTAGAACTGACATTCCTGTAGAATTTTAGGTGTGTATTGCATCGTTTTATTTTAGATTTATTTCAAATTATATTGTCAGTTTTTCACTTGTGGTATAAATTCAGTGCGAAAATACTATGCAGCCGGCGGTGAGGTTATTTAATAATTGTTTTTACATACCTACAGACCTTCTAAGTCAGAGTCATTGAAACTATGTTATTGGATATGGCCCTCCTAGACACAAATAAAGAAGCCAAATGTAAAGAAACCTAACTCCTCAATCCACTCATTTGACTTGTTTACCTGGAACTTGCCGGCTGGCGACGACCTTATTGGAATTTATTAAGAGTTGATAATTATTTGTTACAGATTTTGGTTACTCTCTCTTTTTATGCAACAGGAAGTTACCAACGTCTTGTGGGAAGATCCCATAGTACTGCCATGTCACAACAGTCAGTATCTAAATGCATTAGAGAGGTAACTGAGGCATTCAACAAACCGACTGTACTCCAAAAATATATTAAGTTCCCTAGTAATATTGATGAACGGAACACTATAAAGAGAAAGTAAATAAATTAAATATATAATAATTCTCATGAAATAGGTAGGTATTATTTACAGAAATTACATTGATATGTATGTTTTATTTTAGATTCTATCAGAAATATCAACTTCCTGGTGTGATTGGTTGCATTGATGGGACTCATGTGGCCATGGTGAGACCATCAGAAAATGAAGATTGGTATTTTAACCGCAAACAATACCATTCCCGAAATGTTCAAATTGTTTGTATATTTGTATATTAGTAAAGTTATTGAACTTTTTGTGTTATTGATGGTAGGTTAATGTATGAATTTGTTTCAGATATGTGATTTTGATTTAAATATTATTAGTGTAGATGCTTGCTTCGGTGGAGCGACCCATGATTCACATATCTTCAACCAACATGCTGTTAAAAATCACTTGATAGCTTTAGTGAATCAAGGGGAGGTAGTGTGTTTGTTAGGTACATACTACTTTAAATTTATTAATTGTGATTCTTGGCAATGGAATATGTATATAGCCTTCATCATTTTGACTAAGGTGTCTTAGTGACTAAGGTACACATTCCAAAGCAGTAACACCAACAATTAGAATTAAAACCTTGGAACATATTAATAATCCTCATCAACCCACCTGCCATGGTGGTATGGCATGATGAATAGGTATTAGAGAAAGCCAAATTAAACAAGTTGATTGATGATTTATCACTTATTGATTTACATGATTGGTGAGCTGAGCAATAATAATATTAGTGCTTTTTTTGCAGGTGACTCAGGGTATGCTCAAAGAGAGTTCATGATGACCCCAATCGTCAATGCCGCAGCAGGCTCGGCAGAACAATTCTACACAGAGAGACAGTGTTCAGCCCGCAACCGAGTAGAAAGAACCATAGGGTTGCTGAAGGCGCGCTGGCGGTGTTTACTCAAGCATAGGGTTCTTCATTATAAGCCTGACATGGTGTCAAAAATTATTAACGCCTGCTGCGTGCTACATAACATGTGTAACGCAGCACGCGTTCCCGAGCCCAGCGACGCGCGACAGATTACAGCAGAATATGATGAGCTCGACGCGCGACAGATTACAGCAGAATATGATGAGCTCGACGCGCGACAGATTACAGCAGAATATGATGAGCTCGACGCGCGACAGATTACAGCAGAATATGATGAGCTCGACGCGCGACAGATTACAGCAGAATATGATGAGCTCGACGCGCGACAGATTACAGCAGAATATGATGAGCTCGACGCGCGACAGATTACAGCAGAATATGATGAGCTCGACGCGCGACAGATTACAGCAGAATATGATGAGCTCGACGCGCGACAGATTACAGCAGAATATGATGAGCTCGACGCGCGACAGATTACAGCAGAATATGATGAGCTCGACGCGCGACAGATTACAGCAGAATATGATGAGCTCGACGCGCGACAGATTACAGCAGAATATGATGAGCTCGACGCGCGACAGATTACAGCAGAATATGATGAGCTCGACGCGCGACAGATTACAGCAGAATATGATGAGCTCGACGCGCGACAGATTACAGCAGAATATGATGAGCTCGACGCGCGACAGATTACAGCAGAATATGATGAGCTCGACGCGCGACAGATTACAGCAGAATATGATGAGCTCGACGCGCGACAGATTACAGCAGAATATGATGAGCTCGACGCGCGACAGATTACAGCAGAATATGATGAGCTCGACGCGCGACAGATTACAGCAGAATATGATGAGCTCGACGCGCGACAGATTACAGCAGAATATGATGAGCTCGACGCGCGACAGATTACAGCAGAATATGATGAGCTCGACGCGCGACAGATTACAGCAGAATATGATGAGCTCGACGCGCGACAGATTACAGCAGAATATGATGAGCTCGACGCGCGACAGATTACAGCAGAATATGATGAGCTCGACGCGCGACAGATTACAGCAGAATATGATGAGCTCGACGCGCGACAGATTACAGCAGAATATGATGAGCTCGACGCGCGACAGATTACAGCAGAATATGATGAGCTCGACGCGCGACAGATTACAGCAGAATATGATGAGCTCGACGCGCGACAGATTACAGCAGAATATGATGAGCTCGACGCGCGACAGATTACAGCAGAATATGATGAGCTCGACGCGCGACAGATTACAGCAGAATATGATGAGCTCGACGCGCGACAGATTACAGCAGAATATGATGAGCTCGACGCGCGACAGATTACAGCAGAATATGATGAGCTCGACGCGCGACAGATTACAGCAGAATATGATGAGCTCGACGCGCGACAGATTACAGCAGAATATGATGAGCTCGACGCGCGACAGATTACAGCAGAATATGATGAGCTCGACGCGCGACAGATTACAGCAGAATATGATGAGCTCGACGCGCGACAGATTACAGCAGAATATGATGAGCTCGACGCGCGACAGATTACAGCAGAATATGATGAGCTCGACGCGCGACAGATTACAGCAGAATATGATGAGCTCGACGCGCGACAGATTACAGCAGAATATGATGAGCTCGACGCGCGACAGATTACAGCAGAATATGATGAGCTCGACGCGCGACAGATTACAGCAGAATATGATGAGCTCGACGCGCGACAGATTACAGCAGAATATGATGAGCTCGACGCGCGACAGATTACAGCAGAATATGATGAGCTCGACGCGCGACAGATTACAGCAGAATATGATGAGCTCGACGCGCGACAGATTACAGCAGAATATGATGAGCTCGACGCGCGACAGATTACAGCAGAATATGATGAGCTCGACGCGCGACAGATTACAGCAGAATATGATGAGCTCGACGCGCGACAGATTACAGCAGAATATGATGAGCTCGACGCGCGACATATTACAGCAGAATATGATGAGCTCGACGCGCGACAGATTACAGCAGAATATGATGAGCTCGACGCGCGACAGATTACAGCAGAATATGATGAGCTCGACGCGCGACAGATTACAGCAGAATATGATGAGCTCGACGCGCGACAGATTACAGCAGAATATGATGAGCTCGACGCGCGACAGATTACAGCAGAATATGATGAGCTCGACGCGCGACAGATTACAGCAGAATATGATGAGCTCGACGCGCGACAGATTACAGCAGAATATGATGAGCTCGACGCGCGACAGATTACAGCAGAATATGATGAGCTCGACGCGCGACAGATTACAGCAGAATATGATGAGCTCGACGCGCGACAGATTACAGCAGAATATGATGAGCTCGACGCGCGACAGATTACAGCAGAATATGATGAGCTCGACGCGCGACAGATTACAGCAGAATATGATGAGCTCGACGCGCGACAGATTACAGCAGAATATGATGAGCTCGACGCGCGACAGATTACAGCAGAATATGATGAGCTCGACGCGCGACAGATTACAGCAGAATATGATGAGCTCGACGCGCGACAGATTACAGCAGAATATGATGAGCTCGACGCGCGACAGATTACAGCAGAATATGATGAGCTCGACGCGCGACAGATTACAGCAGAATATGATGAGCTCGACGCGCGACAGATTACAGCAGAATATGATGAGCTCGACGCGCGACAGATTACAGCAGAATATGATGAGCTCGACGCGCGACAGATTACAGCAGAATATGATGAGCTCGACGCGCGACAGATTACAGCAGAATATGATGAGCTCGACGCGCGACAGATTACAGCAGAATATGATGAGCTCGACGCGCGACAGATTACAGCAGAATATGATGAGCTCGACGCGCGACAGATTACAGCAGAATATGATGAGCTCGACGCGCGACAGATTACAGCAGAATATGATGAGCTCGACGCGCGACAGATTACAGCAGAATATGATGAGCTCGACGCGCGACAGATTACAGCAGAATATGATGAGCTCGACGCGCGACAGATTACAGCAGAATATGATGAGCTCGACGCGCGACAGATTACAGCAGAATATGATGAGCTCGACGCGCGACAGATTACAGCAGAATATGATGAGCTCGACGCGCGACAGATTACAGCAGAATATGATGAGCTCGACGCGCGACAGATTACAGCAGAATATGATGAGCTCGACGCGCGACAGATTACAGCAGAATATGATGAGCTCGACGCGCGACAGATTACAGCAGAATATGATGAGCTCGACGCGCGACAGATTACAGCAGAATATGATGAGCTCGACGCGCGACAGATTACAGCAGAATATGATGAGCTCGACGCGCGACAGATTACAGCAGAATATGATGAGCTCGACGCGCGACAGATTACAGCAGAATATGATGAGCTCGACGCGCCTGCGCCTGCGCCCGCCCCCGCCCCCGCATAGCATTTATTTAGAGAATTATAATTGTTTATAATAAATTGTGTACATTTTTATTCATCTTTTTGTTTTATTTTGTACATAATTGATAATTACATGCACATTGTAAGATGCGAAATTCGACGACATTTCATTAGAACGATATAACAATTTTGTTGGGTCGGCGTAACTGAGAAGAAGATAATTGTATATTTCCGATATATGTTGTTTTATTTCTGCCAGCAAGGTATCCCTATTTACCGAATTAAATGCATTTTTGACATCAATTTTGAGCAACACGTCAGGCTGCCCGTAAGTTAGGAAAGAGCGTAGGGCATGGACGGCTGCCTCACACCCTCCTTTTACACCGAAGCCTAACTGTACGGGTTCAAATTCCGAATTTAATTTTGGTAAAATATGTCGAACAGCAATTTTGGAGGCCAGACGTCGTAGTGTTGATCCAACAGCAATTGGTCTCACCTCTCCGTCCTTTTTGGTGAGGGCAATGAGGTTCGCGCCGAAAAGAATAGGAACAATTTCTGGATTGACACTACCGGAATACATAAAGTTGATTAATTTATTGATCGAATTTACAAGTGGCTCGCCTGCATTACCCACAGAATGCGATGTTAAATCTTTCAAATGTTGGGGTGAGATTCCACCCAAACCTGCAGCCGAACCTGGTTTAAAAGATAAAATGGCATCCATAACATCTTTGTATTGAATTTGAAGGCATGCTTGCCCTGATGTTGGTGGGTCGAGAAAATATGGGTTTGCTGGAGTTGGGGGATGTTTTGTACGTAAGGCCTGAAGGGTGTCAGGGGTATCAGGTGATAGCACGTCGTTGGAGAACAAAAGGCGAGCGGCACCTTTGAGATATCCGTCACAGATTTTGTTTTCAACGAGTTTTTTGCGATTATGAGGGGTTTTGATTAGAGTTTTTCATTATGTTTGATTAGAGGTGCGGGAGAAGGCGAGGAGCTTACAGCATAGTTATTCTTAATTTTTTGTGCCAAGGATGAATTCGGTTCATCAGTTTTTAAGATATGAAGTGTGCTGTATGAAAATAAAAATAGGTTCTGCCAGTCTTGAGTAAAACTGCTTATACCTATAACATTTCTGGATTAATTGTGACAAATGTGTGGCAAAGGTTATTCGAGCTCCTCGCGGTATTCTTTTAACTATTGGTATACTATTTTTCAAATGGTTGAGATATGTGTGGAAAGGAGTTGGATCGTTGGCATCATAAGTAGGCGCACTCGGAATAATGGGATGGATGTCTTAAGGTGAATTGTTTTGACTAATACGTTGCCTGTGTGTTTTTGAAGTGTGTATATTGAGGCCTTTCAAAGATTCGTAAGACTTGCGGCACTGTGTACATGTGTGGGTCGCGTTCGACGTGCCATCACAAGATTGGGTCACGGACAGCCTTCACAATAGTTAAATACATTCAAATATAAATAATAACTTAAAACAGTTTTAAAAACACAAAAAGTAACTTTAAATGTACACTAATGAATCTTAAAATGAAAACATAAAAAAATGGGTGCGTGTACTTATGTAGGCGCTTGAGAAGTTATCCTTCTTTGGCATCGTTTAAAATAAGTTTTTAATTGCATGCAAATAATTAATTACAATAAATTAATAATAAATGACATTTCATTTCATTTCAATGTCCCGTTCAAATCTGCCCTGTTTGCTTTGTTCAAATCTGCCCCACGCGGCCACGGTCACTTGGAAAATAAAATATTACAAATAACGCGCCCGCGGCTAACTTCATTATGTTAAAATCTTGTGTTACAGTGATGAAAATTTCACTCTCATAATTTTTTCATAACGCGGCTAAAGAAGTATAACTTCAAAAAGTCAGTCTATATGACAGCTGCTTCTTTTGGTGACAAGACGCATGCGTCGTTACCTAGGTCCGTCAAGGTTGCCAGGCCGCGGGAGCAAATCAAGCCTCCTATTGGCTGAGTAGTAGCGGGTACCTAGCAACAGGCGTGGATGTCCAAGGCGTCCTTAGTAACACAATTCGTTCGGGGAAATGTCAAAAAAATAGCAGACTTTATGTAATCATATTCAAGCAAATACATCAGCACACAGGTTGCCCACATGCGGGGTCATAAAGAAAAATTTGGGTTGCTAAAATATGGTATTTATTACCAATTATGGGTAATAATAATAATTTTAAAGTCCAAAATATGTGCAGAGGAACTGACAGTTCAGTTGACTTTTTTTTTAGTTACCTACGTTTTTTATAATCAGTCTTGCGTTTTTATATTTTTATACTTTAAAAAAAAAAACCCACCTTAGGCTGCTACGTTGCTCTTCATCAGTCGCGTGGCCGTCAAGCGTAAGCCTATTTACTGTAAAAAAAAAACAGTCACTGAAAAAAGCCGCTAATGCGTGCGCTTGTATAGAAAGCTTTGTGTTACATTTTTTTGCGGATACAGACTTGCGATAAACGCGTGTCTGAAACCGCAGTGCGTTCTAAGCCTTAGTCCTAATTTGTCGTATCGGTAATCTTATATATATCACTAGCTGTGCCCCGCGGTGTTACCCGCGGCTTATTAGGGAAAATAAATTGTGTATTAACAGTAAAAACAATGACTATTCACATTTTTAGAAGCAAAATAATTTAAACTTAAACATCGGAAAGATCAATTTACAAAATTTGATAACTGACAGAACGGGAGAGATGATTATGCTGTCTTATGTAATTGTTTTTTGTCTCGGCTCGTAGAACGAGACCTAGAAATCACTTTACTGCAGCACATCCCGGTAAACCACAATGCGAGACTTATTGTTTTCTGCGTAAATAAAATGTGTTTCTTGCCATCGACACACGGGAGCAACCCACGTTCAGATGTCCGTGGGAAAAGCAGAGGGTGCCCAGCGCTTGAACTGGAAGGGTAAGTTTGTGGGTAATATAGGGATTCTAAGTATCAATACCGTCTCTCATTTGGCCCCTCCAGTAATGGTGGCCTAGACGATGTGCCGTCTCAGCTCCGTGATGCTTAACCTAATGCCGTTACACAGTATGACAGGCAGACAGATAGCCCTGACAGGTCGAGGGAATTTAAGAATTCTACATGGTATAGGTATTATCCCACAACGGCGAAGCCTTGAGGCATGGGTTTATCTCATCTGCCGAGGTACCTCGCTCGATAACCAGTAACATCTGCCAAAAATCACCTGCCAGCAAGACGACCACTTCACCAATAAAGATTCGATTCGGTCCCATAAGATCAATTTGCACCATTGCAATAGAGCACCACGACTACTTCTTTTACTGATGTTGCAAATGGGCGTTTCTTCACTTGCAAGTTTCAGCGGGAGCTTGAATACTGAGTGTCCGGTTCTGCCACCACTCAGCCAGGTTGCGGCTATTCTGGAGGATGCAACAGCCAGCGCAACCACTTTGTCTTTGCACAATTGTGCCAGCAGCAATTTCATTAAAAAAGTCTTGCCGGTGCCCCCTGGTGCGTCCAAGAAAAAAGACTTTCAGCGCTTCTTTAAAAATTATGTCTAGTGTTATCCCTTGTCGAGGAGCTCGATGGCGCAAGTGGTTAACGCGTTCAGCTGCGATCGTTGAAGTTAAGCAACTTACGCAGTGGTCGGTCATTGGATGGGTCACCAAAAATTTACTATCTCAAGCTCCTCCGTGCTTCGGAAGGCACGTTAAGCCGTTGGTCCCGGCTGCATCTGCAGTCGTTAGCACCCACAAATCCGCACTGGGCTCGCGCGGTGGGTCATGGCCCAATCTCCCTATTCCATCCATAGGGAAGGCCTGTGCCCCAGCAGTGGGGACATTAATAGGCTGATGATGATGATGATCCCTTGGTATCGACGAGCAATGTCTTCTGACAAAGTGCTTTTTATACTTGTACCACAATTGCCGGGGGTTGGAGAGTCCGCAGGTGCTTATCATAATCGCAAAGAGCTCTCTCAACGTAGTCGCTGACCGGCACAACATTGCGCACTCCATCCTTGCGTCCCAGTGGCCGTCGTCTTCAAGCAGCTTCATCGCCTCACATGCTTCTTAAAAAGTGGCTTTTTCCTGCCCATCGACGATTTTGAGCGCTTGAAAACTGGTAGGACCCCGGCTTCTAGTAATAGCAACAGCAACCGTACACAATAGGACTCAAAGTGTGTTATGTGTACGGTATAAATTCTACCGTGGGCATCTAAGGCTTTCACACCAGGCCAACCGTCGACGGGTGCGCCCTGCACGCAACGTTCCATTGTTTTCGTGACGCATTCCACGTGCGAGCAAACTCGTCTTCCTGGCACAGTTGCTCGCTCCATACCTTGAATGATTTGACACCGTTTGTCAGTTTCCGCGTCGTCGTCTCCCATAAAATATACCTGTAAAAATTGTGGCTGTTCATTAGGTGATCATCACCCATTTTGTGATGTAGTTGGCCATGCACTGTGAACGTTGGGGAAAATCCAGGCGTTGCAAAAAGGACAATGGCGAAATATTTGTTGAAGTAAATCTATAGCGTCTATAGATGTCATTATCAGAAATGTTAATAAAATAATCTCAAAAGATTTATTAAACAATTGAGGAGGGTTGTCTAAGTCTGGAATTAAAAGCTTAAAAAAAGGGAAACACAATTGACTTTTTTTTTTATTGTGGCTTGGTCATGATGGCTTTTGAGCCATTCATTTTAAGTGATTTTAGTGATGAAATCAACTTTAAATATGTTGTTCGTATGTTTTGCATCGCTTTACGCTTGAACTCTATTTAATTATCTATCAAAAATATCGGGAAACGTTATTTTTCAATATTATACTGAAACCACATTAAATAATCTCCACAATACAAAAAGAGTATGGTGACAATTCTAACGAAAAAAAAACTATAACTGTCACTGTCATGCTTGTCATCGAATTGTTGTTATCATTAGGTGCATGTATATCAATGATGTCAGACGTACCAACTTCTTGGTATACATACTAGTTTTTAGTGCCACGTACCATGTACCAAGGCTATTCAGTCCTTGTACGCAAAAATACCAAGA